GTGGAGACTTGATTGGATTCCAAGCCTATGGTAATATTTTGGTTAGTTTCGGTTTGAGCGGTTCCATTTAGCCAAACACTTTGAGCGGACACGTGTGAATCTTTGTGAGGTATTGAGTCATGTTTCATTGAAGTTGGCAATTACTTGAGATATCTTGTCTACTTTAAATTTTCTTGGTTATGTATTTGCTTGATTGTAACTTGAATTTGGCAAATGTCATGGACTTAATTCGATTGGAAGTTTGAGGAATAAATTGAAATTGAAGATGACAACTTATGATTTTGATATGCTAATTGAAAAATGCTTGAGGACAAGCATTGAATAAGTGAGGGGGAATTTGATAAGTGCTTAATTTAGTTAATATTTTACTTTTAAATTACTCTTTAATCATTGTTTTTTGTGGCTTATTTTTTCATTTTAATTCATTTTCTGTACATGACGTAAGATTATGGAAATTGCAAAAAAAGGACACAATTATGCATATTTTTTATTTTCAAAATCAAAGCTGGCTGGAATTCGGATTTGGATTAAACTCAAATTTAGGATAATATTTTAAACATTATATTTTATCTTTGTATTTTAGTTTAAATAGGTTTTTAGTATTTTAATTAAGTTTTAGGATATTATTTTTATATTTTATCTTTATCTTTGTATTTTAGTTTAAATAGGTTTTAGTATTTTAATTAGGATTTAGAATATTATATTATTTTTTTAGGTATTTTAGTTTAAATAGTTTTAACTGTTTTAATTAGGATTTAAGATGCTTTAGCTTGTTTTTAGGATTTTGAAGGCTATAAATACCCTCTAAGGGTGAGCTTAGAAACACATCTCTCTCATTTGAGAATAAAATCTTCTTTTTCTCTCTAGTTTTCTCTCTATTTTTCGCATACTTTTCTATTATACTAAGTATGACTTTGGTTATGCTTAGCTAATTTTCTTTCAAGCCGAAGACTAAAGCAAAGGCTCAATTCCAAACGTGAGAATTGTAAAGTACTTAAATCGCTTCGGATTTTCTCTCTGTTTTCTAAAGCTTACTTTTCAAATCAAAACTATTTCGACATTGGTCCGGATATTGTTATGGTTAATGTTTGAAGAAGGATTTGCTTAATGAAGCATATTCAAATTCCCGAGAACACACTTAGCAAAATTGTTTGCTAAGAGGAAACTGAGATCAGAATCAGTTGTTGTTGAAACGTCACAATCCGAGTTGGCAGCGAAGAATTGTTCTTGTAAGCTTACGTGAATCTTGAAGTAAAAAATTATTTTGATGATCTGAGGAATTTGAGGCGAATCTGAAGTTTGAGGCTGCTTTCACAATAAGTTTCTCTTTATCTTAATCTCTTTAATTTGTTTATTTAATTATTTTTTTCTTTTATTTAATTCTTATTTTTTATTTTAACCACAACTTTAAAAAAATCCCCCTTTTATATTTATTACTATTGATATTTATTATTATATTATTTTTCTTTTTTTATTTATTTTATTTTGATATATCTTTTCAATTTCATCTGGAATTCTATCTTTTTCTAAAATCAAGAAAGAGTTTTATTAAATCAGAAACACCACAGTCCCTATGAATCGACCCTGCTTCTCTATACTATATTTTTATTTTTATTTATTAAGAAGCCAAGAATTATTTTGATAGCAAAACGACAGTTATCAGCAATCTTCTAAAGGACATAATGTATATAATACTGACAAGGAAAATGATCGACATGGAGGAAGTAGCAATGATGTATCAAGACTTGGGCCAGTATCATGGTATAATCAGAGTGCATGTGGTGACTTATTCATTCCCATCATACACCTAATAAGACTTATGACTCTGTGATTGGAGAATCTGCTAGAGACATGGATTGATGGCTGGGGAAAATAATTTGTCTGGTGATACTTATCGCCCTCAGCATGATATAAGTGATAATCTTTCTTGATGGATTGCTAATGATGTCACATGAGAGCATCATATGTTCAATTCTCCAAACTTTCTGGCTTCTTGGACAACTTAATTTCAAGAAAGTGAAATGCTTCGTTATTCTGGCCTCGTTCATTCTTTTTCTTCAATAGAGGTAGAATAGGCAACAACTTGCTTCAAGGACCTTCCTCATTTGAGACTGTCTTGTTTGAAAATGTTTTTCCTCCTTTCTTTATCGAAGAATGAAAGAATTTTGTAAAGTGTTGCCTATCGCAGATTCACAATAGAATCAAATCATAAGCATGAATTTAATGAATATCAAATAAATCAATTACACTTTTAAATCAAAAAAAATCATAGTCCTATGGCAAGTGTCAAAATTATTGACTAATTTAGGACTTAGGTTGATTCTGGTAAAGTAAGGTCTGTCAGGTTGATCCAGCATATATGTCTTCTTTGAGCTTCTATTAACTTGAAGGAAGGGTTGTTATGCTCATCTCATAGAGATACTTCTTAGTTCCAGAATCTCAGGAACGTCTTTGGGATGTGCGGTGCTTCATCAAGAGCTTAAATGTTGTTGTTGAACCATTCAATATTCAAGCCACCTTTTTAGGTTTTCGACTTGAATCATCCTTTGGTTCCAAGATGTTATTTAAAAATTTACATCTTGAACCCCCCTTTTATCATTTTTCATATCATGCATTAAAGATTAAAATAACAATTTTTGCAAATAAAAATCAATCCCGAGAGGCGGAATGAAATCTGAAGATAGTATTTTTCACATAAAAAATCCATGTATGATTAGAATGGACTTTTCAGGTACGTAACGTAGGCCAAGGCTCAGGGTTATGAAAGAAAGGGATAAAAAGGCCCAAACAAGTGTTTAAGGGTAATTGAACCAATGATCAATTCGTTCTGATGCCTTCAATCTTGCCTTGCTTGACTTGGATTTTCTTTGCTGTGGATTTTTCCATAAAATTCATTCATCTCCAGCTTTCTTGTGCTTCTTGTTGAATATGAATCTTTGAACTTATTACACTTGATCAACCTTGTAACTTGAGGCTCAATGAGTCACCCATCTTGATTTAATTTTTTCCTTTTTTATTTTTTTTATTTTTATGAATGAGTGTAGGACTTCAATTGCTTTGAGAACCTCCTTTTCCTCTTGTATTTCGTAAATTTTTCCGTTATTCTTGAATGGATTGATCTTCAAGCACTTTGTATTTGACCTACCTTGTAGTCCAAAACTCTCTTTATTTTATGAAGATTTGCCTTCATAATTGATAATCTTTATTCTTGTGGGCAGATATCCTTCACCTTTCCCCCCAATGTGGAAGGTGATCCTTGGTAAGGGTTGAAGCAGAAGAAAAATATTATAGGCTCAAAAGGGGACAACAAGAGATATATATATACATATATTTGAAAGGATAAATGAAACAATGCCATTCATCATCTCATACACAAAAGCCTTTGTAAAAAGAGGTATTCCCAAGGGGATGAATATTCAAGATTAATCTTTATTTTCATGAAAACAATGTAATTAATGCATGATATAATTATTCAATCTCTCTTTCTTTTTCCTTCTTGCTTTAAGAATGCCCCAATCACTCAAAATTATCTTCGATAAGTTGATCCATGATGCCTCATTTCGTCTCTTCTTGCAGGAAGATTCATGGATAATTTGAAAGTTTGGTTCTTTTGAGGTCTATTGGTTTATGATGGTTTTGTATTTGGAAGGACAAAGGTGTGACTTTTGAAGTCAGGTGTATGGTGGAATGTTCTAAACCAATAAAATTTACCCAAGAAGGTAAACATATGGATTTTTTGTCTCAAAAATAAGTAGAGACATGACTTCAGAGTCTCAGATAAATGTATGTCAGGATTTGGTTTTTGTAAGGATCAAGTAATTGGCATTGGATGAGATATGGAATGTATAATTTTACCACTTGCCAAAGATATATAATTCTTGAAAAAGAATATTTAATCTACTTGATACTAAAAAATTTCAAGATTAAAATTTAATTCCTTGCTCATAACCATAAAAACAACAAAAATTTATTTATTGCACAAAAAGCGGAGAAATTAACAAAAACAAATTCAAACAAGATGCTAAAAATAGAAAGTACTGCATTGGTAGATAACACTTCCACTTGTTTATGCATCATTACTCCTCTAATGTTGGGTGTGTAATAGGATCAGGGTTATTGTCCTTATTTGCCCCCCATTTCTTGATCATTTCTCTTATCTGGGCTTGTTTGGATGATTCTTCAGACGTACCAACCTCTACTTTTTTTCTTAGCAGTTTTGTGGTCAGATCTCATCTTCTCGTTTATCAATTGGAAATTGGGCTCAAAACAATTCTTATTGGTAACAATAGCTTTGTCCCGGTTCTGAACACATATTGTAGCTGTGATTGGCGTAGTATTCGTCATGTTCTCTAAACTGCCCAAAGTTTCATCTGTCCTCAGGATGTCTGATATGGGTGTTTGAGATGTTTTCATGGTTGCATCTTCCCAGTTTATTTTTAGACCTATGGGCCAATCTCGGATTACATTCATGGAAGCCCTTTTGCTTTGATTTCCTTTCTCATTTTCTTGCGCCCGATATTCTTCGTAGGATTTGGTCACATTAGTCTCTGTTGAGGCAACGATTTCTAAGCATTGAACCTTAACCCCCTCTTTTACCTTGTATTTTTTAATTGCTTGCTCTAAAGGATCTTGGAAATTTCCCTCAAGGTTACCAGGAACCTTAGCTGAACAATTTGGAATTCCAGTTTAGTTTATCCAAGGAACCTCCTTATAGGTCCAATTCTCATTTGGAGGCCACTGTGGCTGAACAAGTCGTGGAGTAGTTAATCTGGTTGAGAGCATTTTTGAATGCAATTTTTCACCTGAAAAGTGAAAGGGAGGAAATTGAAAACCCTGCAGATTCTTTTTCTTCTTGATAAGCTTTTGACCCATTTTTATGCCCCTTTTCTTTGGGTAAAGCTTATTTCTTACAACGAAACTTTTTTCTTTCATTGATTCTTCATTCACCATTAATTCACCAATGCCTCTTGGGACCAAATCTTAAAGCTGTCTTAAATTACCATACTCACTAATAGGTTCTTGATCATCAGACACTATCATGTCGAACTCATCATTATTTAGAACCTCATTTATAGCATTCACAGCGGAATCCTCTAATGGTTTCCCTCCATGGATCATATCATTCATCATGTTCATTAACATGGTCATTTGTTCTTTTGAATCAGCTTGGAATTTTTTTTGCATGATCAGTCATTTCTTGTTGAGTCTTAATAAGTTGCTCTTGTAGTTTCTTGATTCTACCAACCCTTGCTAAAATCTCATTCATGGCTCTTATCCTTCTTTAGGAAGACCGAGTTAGCCCCAATTTGATTTCGAAAATTCTATCATGGAATCCTCCACGAATTATTCCCATATTGTAATGATTAAATGCATGTAAAATAGTTTGAAATAAAATGAAATTATGCAAAGATGTAAATGCAAAATGCAAATGTAAATATGTGAATGTAACAATAAGAATGCAAATTGTGCAATACAAAAGAAAACATAAAAGTATAAATGCAAAATGAAAATGCAAAGATACAAAATGCAAATGCATGTTTGAAAAGGTGTTACTCAAGAGTGATCATCTTAAAATAGATTTCATTGAACACAAAATTTTCCGTGCATCAAACAAAACTTTTACATGTAGGGGACAACTTTCAGTCCTAACTTCAACAAAACTTTACATATAGGGGATAACTTTCCCTCCTAACTTCTCTAAAGCCAAGTTAGTTTCCATTCATGCTCAAAAGTTGAGTTATCAGTCTGCTTCTATTCCTTGTAAAGTCAGCTAAATCTATCAGCTTATGGGCCATATTGCTTGTCGGTACTGCGGTTTCTTCCATGCCATTCTCTTTTTCCTTCATATTCTTTGTCAATTCTCGGAGTTGCTCATTTTCCCTTGTAAGAGAACCTTTGTGTTCAAGAAGTTCTTGGATAAGATCTTCGTATATGTTGCAGTTCTTTTTCAGCTTGGTGACCTATGTTATCAACTCTTATGGGGTATTTCCTATGCCAGCATTTTGAAAGGCTTGACTGATCTTCTGGAAATCTTCATGCATGGTTTCCATTTCTGTGCTCAATTTCTTGTTTTGATCCTTCAAATAACATGCTTGAGCTTCATAAAAACCTCCTTTATTTTGAATGCCCTGACTGATACTCTTGTCGTAGAATGCTTTTGGTATCAATCTAACAGGATCTTTATGGAATACTTTTGGTATTAATATAACATGATCTTTGTGTGCATAGCTCGCTTCTATCCTCGGAGTTTCCTCAAGATGTCTTTCCTTGGTTGCGTCATATTTTGTTTGATCATAAAACTTTTTGTCCATTTATGGATTCTTTCCAATTTGATGAATAGTCTTTTAACTCAACACCTTTTGGTTATGCCATGATCATGCAATGCAAACAAAAGAAATCAATATAAACGAGTTAGAGCAATGTAACATGTATAAGAAAAAATAAAAAAAATGGTTAGTACCACTAATGGAAAGAAAAAATTCTATCTACCAAGGTATAAATCCTAACCTCATGCTTTCTAGTTCCATGCTTTGTTTAAAAAAAAATAACCTAACTGCATGATTTTTAGTTCCATGAAATCAAATAAATTAAAAGCTAGAGCTTATTTCTCCTTTGTGTACACCTATAAATAGGGTTTTAGTATTGTCTTAGATCAGGAGAATTTTTAAGGTTTATTATATGTAGGGTTTCAGTTCTAAGAGTAAAGGTACTCGAACTGTCCTTGTTGATGCCCCCTTGGGCTATCAAACCCTCAATCCTAGTCCATTACAAATTTAAACGGATCGAGTTCAATTCGAGGGGACACATTTCTCTATGTCTGACACGGAGAATAAATTCTCACGAAGATATAGAGCATATGAACCCTGAAAGTTACTTGTTAAATTTAACACAGAGAATAAATTCTCACGAAGACGTCGCTTTCACTCCCACTTAAAAGGGACAAGCTTGATTATAAAGCTTTTGTTATGCAATGCATGTGTTGTGTGTGAAGAGAAATTTTCACACAAAAATTGATATCTAAAAAGTAATTAAATACATATACAAGGGTATAAAATAAATTGAAAAATAAAAAAAGAATCATAAATTAAATAAAATTGGATTCTCAATTTCTAATTATAGAGACAATATATAATCAAATTAGGTTTGACCAGGGTCCCCAGCGGAGTCGCCAAGCTGTCGTAACTGGTTTTTGTCCGGGCACGAAATTTTTACTTGACGGGAAAAGTGATGTGAATAAATGGTTTTTAAAATGTTTTGGGAGTCGCCATCGGCCTTTTGGGTTAGGTAGGTCGAATACCTAAAAAATATCTTTTAAAAGAGTTTTTAAGAAAACATCAGTTAAAAGATAAATTGGTCTGCGTTTAACCAAAAATTCATTCTTTTTAATAATAAAAAGGAATTTGTGGTCTGTTACCTTTGGGGAAGGATTAGCACCCCCACAACGCCCAAAATTGGTCATTGTCGATTATAAATTGTCTCTAACAATAGAATTTTAAGAATTCGAATATGAATTTAATTTACGATCCTGTTTTTATTCAATTGGATAATAAGGAAGAAAAATATTAAAATAATTTTTATAAATTATAAATAAGGTATTTATTTATTTACAAATATCAGAATAGGACTTCTAGTTGCTTTAAGACAACACATTTCTTTAATATTAATAAATAAATAAATATTAATAAGACATTTCTTAAAAAATAAAAATAATAATATATATATAATTTATAAAAGTAGGATATTTATTTATTTAAAAATATCAGAAAATGACTTCTAGTTGCTTTAAGACAGCCCAGTTCTTAATATTTAAAAATAAATAAATATTATTAATTTACAAAATTAATCAAATAATATATATTAATATGACTGAAATAAAATAATAATTAAAATATTGAATTAAACATATTGAAATTTAAAGAATAAAATTAAATATAATTAAACAGTGACTAAAATAAATAAAATTAAAACTATAGTATTAAAATACAGAATATATAAATTAATAAACTAAAATGAACATTATTAAAAAATCAGTAACTAAAATATAAAATATAAAACCTAAAGATCCTAATTTGAATTATTAAAAAGATATGTACTAACAATGTAATTTAGCCTTAATATTAATTATTCGAGTTAAAATAAATGTAATCAAAATTTTAAGGACTAAATATGTTATTTACCCTAAATATATATATAAACATGCAATGATTAAATTATAAATAAAACAAAATTAGAAGACAAAATTAATATATGCATAAATGTAATTCTAGTTACTAAAATGGAAGTTTACAAATTCTGAATGGATGCAGAGATGATTTTCCCAATAAGGAAATTACAGAGACACCCTCCCCCAAAACAGTGTCGTGTGGGGGAGGGTATTTAAACCCTTTTAAACCGGCCCTAAGGGCCATTATTTCATTTTTCTGGTTTTGCTTCTCTCTCTTTAGAGAGAGAAGCTCTCGTTTTCCCTCGACGGAGAAGAAAATTGGCCACCTTTTCCGGCGCCGAGCACCGCCGTGATGGCCGAAAATTCCCAAATTACCCCAAAATAAAGTTGTGAACACTCTAAGACCGATTCTAACCTCATTTTCCCCTAAAATGCTCCGAAATTACCTAGATCTACGGAAATAAGTTCGGTATTTCGGTTTCCTTGGGGGCTCATGTAGGTTTCGATAGTCGTGCTCCTTCCTCGATAAGTGTTTCTCATCTTTTGGTTTTTTTGTTATGGGTTTTGATTGTTGTCGGTTGTGGTTGTTGTTTGGTTCTTGTCTTCTTTCTGTTTCATTTGTTGTCGATCTGTCTTGATTTCACAGGTGTGGTGGCTTTTATAGCCACCATCGAGGAAAGCCACCATCGAGGATGCTCTCGGACCGGTCCCAGAGATGAGTTTTGGTGAGTCACCGAACCTGTGGTGAGTCACCGAACCTGTGGTGACTCACCGAAGAATGGGACGCGTGGACGGCTGGAATGACTCTTCTGGGAGCTTCGACTGGCGTCGTGGCAGTGTAGAACGTCGGTAGCGGATGGTGGCAACAGAGGCGCCGTCGCGTGGTCCCTAGGGTATCATAACCCTATGGTTTCTTGTTGGATATCTCTGGACCGTTGGATCTTGCCAGATCCAACAGATGATGGTGGATGGCGGCTGGGATGAGATGTGTGAAACCCTGGGGTTTCCTCTGTATCCGGGTTGAGTCTCCACTTAGGCCTGAACTGGGCTCCGGGATCTTGTAAATGGGTCGGGTTTGTAAATGGGCTTCAGGACTCTGGGCCTCCAATGTATTTGTGGGCTTATAAAAATATTTGTAATTATATTTATTTAATAATAATAATAAATAGTAATAATAGTAATAATAATAGTAATAAATATAATAATAATAATAATATAATAATTTTAGAATGGAAAAATTGATGTCTACACCTCTAATTCGGATCTGTGATAGGGTGCAGGAGGTGACTCAACTAAACTCAAATCTGAAATGACAGTCTCCTCACTGGATCAATCTTGGTGATATTTCAATCGTGATAAGATTCTTTGTCTTCGATCCTAACTCTACCAAAGAAGCTGGAGCTTTTATCTTCATTAGAAGGGTCATTCACTTCCGGATGATCCGAATTCAGGTTCTTGCTGTTGCCAATGCCATCTTTGTTCTTACCTTTTTTAGACCGAGTATTTTCTAAGTAACTGAAGGAAACAACAAACTTTCTTCACTTTTTCTTGAAGTTTAGCTTGGACCTTCTTCAAAAGCTCCACAATCTACTTCTCCCTTGGAGTCGGGTCTGCACTGACTTGAAATTTTGTGGAATCCTAGAGCGAGAGAAATAGATCCATTTTAGAAGATAACACTACAAAATCATCTAGATTTTCAATACCATCTTTATCTTCATTTGGCCTATCCCTACCTTGAAACTCATGTCTTTGACTTGAGAAATCAAGGATACTCATGTGACCCCCAGCACATGCTTTGCATGGTAAAGACATTCCATAGGAACCACATTTTGTAGATCTAACCTTCACCTGTGAACAAATTCTGGGGTTTGTATGTGAAGAGCAAAAAGATCAAGCCACTACACTTTTGTACTCACAGTGGTTAGGAGCCAAGATGCCAATAGTTTGTCTTGTTGCCTATATACCATAAAGGTTGGGTTCTCTT